TGCTTCTTGGCAGAATGGGGTTGGACTGGATGATGGCCCAGGAGGTCTCTTCCAACTCTTAGATGCTATGATTCGATGACTTCCTTTTTTCCCCCTTCCAGCGACCTGCTCCAGAACCCGCTGATTGTGCCGGTGAAGGTGCTGAAGGGCCACGCTCTGGCCCACGACTTGGGGGTCCTGGACGTCCTCTTCCACCCCAGCCAGCCCTGGCTCTTCTCCGCCGGCGCCGACGCCACCGTCCGCCTCTTCACGTAGCCCGGCTCCGGCTGTGGGTCTCCTCCCGAGGAGGGCGATGAGGCCAGTGGACTTCTCTGTTTTCCAGAGGGCCGGGCAGCAGTCTTTTGGCCCTGCAGAACTAGTTTTGCAATTAAAGGATCCCGGCCTTCCTCCGCACGGGGTCTTTCCATGGCTCTCTCTGTTCCGAGACCTAATCTCACCTCCTGGGAAAACTCTCCATCCTCTGAAGGCCGTGAAGGCTGATTCTCAAGCGGAACGGACTCCCAAAAGTCTTCTCTTACTTCTCTCTGATCGACGGCCCGCCTTTCTGTCTGAGTTTCAACCTAATCACACATAGACTCAGTGAAAAATCCAGCACCCTCCTGCTGAGCCACAACATACGTGTGCATTCACGAAAACGTATATCATGCATTATTGCTTCCTGCAGAGGGTGAGGCCAACACGTGTGTCACCAGCTGGATCCAAGTCTTTGAAGTAGCCTGCAGGTACCAGGTAGAACAACACTCACCTGCCCTGTCTACACTATCATATAAAATCCAGATTATCTGCTTTGAACTGGATTATATGGTGGTGCGGACTCATACAATTCAGTTCAAAGCAACGACAAACAGACCAAGAGTCAATATTGAACTCCCATGATTTTGCATTGATGTGGCGTTGGTGGGAGTGTGGAGGGATGGGTGTGTTGTTTTGCAGTGTGTGCTGGGGAAAGCATCTAATTTCATTGCACAATCTATATGTGATGATATAGTGGCCTCCCTGTTTTCTATATAAATAAAAATGTAATGTTCGTTTGTGGGATTAACAGAATTCAAAAACCACTGGACGAATTGACACCAAATTTGGACACAAGACACCTAACAGACCAATGAATGTCCGTCATCCATAAACACACACACACACACACACACACACACAAAACCCCAGCGGAACAGATTTAAAATCCCCCAAAATACACCATATATACTTCTACACATACACTCATATACGTATACACATGCACACATTCATACATACACATGTGTATATATGCACAAACACACATATACACACATATATACATATGCACATAAACATGCACACATACATATATACATACACACATGCACACACATATACATATCCATACATACATACACACAAATATGCATATAGACAAGCACACACATGCATGTACACATATACACATGCACACACACATATATACATATCCACATACATACATATATACACACAAATATGCATATAGACAAGCACACACATGCATGTACACATATACACATGCACACACACACACACACACACACACACACACACATATATATATATATATATATATATATATATATATATATATATATACACATATACACGCAAATATATACACACACATATACACGCACAAAACACACATATGCAGACTGGGCCACAGCAACGCGTGAAGGTCAGGAGGGAAGAGGCAGATCTAATCTCCATCAGGAGAGAGTTCCATAACCGAGGGGCCACCACCGAGAAGGCCCTGTCCCTCGTCCCCACCAGACACGATTGCGAGGGTGGTGGGACCGAGAGCTGGACCCCTCCAGAAGATCTTAACACCCTTGATGGTTCATAGGGGAGAATCCGCTCGGACAGGTAAACTGGAGGGAAGGGGCAGATCTAATCTCCATCGGGAGAGAGTTCCACAGCCGAGGGGCCACCACCGAGAAGGCCCTGTCCCTCGTCCCCACCAGACGCGGTTGCGAGGGTGGTGGGACCGAGAGCTGGACACCTCCAGAAGATCTTAACAACCTTGATGGTTCATAGGGGAGAATCCGCTCAGACAGGTAAACTGGAGGGGGCAGATCTAATCTCCATCGGGAGACAGTTCCACAAGTGAGGGGCCACCACCGAGAAGGCCCTGTCTCTCATCCCCACCAGACACGATTGCGAGGGTGGTGGGACCGAGAGCAGGGCCCCTCCAGAAGATCTTAACAGCCTTGATGGTTCATAGGAGAGAATCCGCTCGGACAGGTAAACTGGAGGGAAGGGGCAGATCTAATCTCCATCGGGAGAGAGTTCCACAGCCACCACCGAGAAGGCCCTGTCTCTCCTCCCCACCAGCCGCGATTGCGAGGGTGGTGGGACCGAGAGCTGGGCCCCTCCAGAAGATCTTAGCAACCTTGATAGTTCGTAGGGGAAAATCTGCACGGACAGGTAAACTGGAGGGAAGGGGCAGATCTAATCCCCATCGGGTGAGAGTGCCACAAGTGAGGGGCCACCACCGAGAAGGCCCTGTCTCTCCTCCCCACCAGCCGCGATTGCGAGGGTGGTGGGACCGAGAGCTGGGCCCCTCCAGAAGATCTTAGCAACCTTGATAGTTCGTAGGGGAAAATCTGCACGGACAGGTAAACTGGAGGGAAGGGGCAGATCTAATCCCCATCGGGTGAGAGTGCCACAAGTGAGGGGCCACCACCGAGAAGGCCCTGTCTCTCGTCCCCACCAGACGCAATTGCGAAGGTGGTGGGACCGAGAGCTGGGCCCCTCCAGAATATCTTAGCAACCTTGATGGTTCATAGGGGAGAATCCGCTCAGACAGGCAAACTGGAGGGAAGGGGCAGATCTAATCTTCATCGGGAGAGAGTTCCACAACCAAGGGGCCACCACCGAGAAGGCCCTGTCTCTCGTACCCACCAGACACGATTGCGAGGGTAGTGGGACCGAGAGCAGGGCCCCTCCAGAAGATCTTAGCAACCTTGATGGTTCATAGGGGAGAATCCACTCGGACAGGTAAACTGGAGGGAAGGGGCAGATCTAATCTCCATCGGGAGAGAGTTTCACAAGTGAGGGGCCACCACCGAGAAGGCCCTGTCTCTCGTCCCTACCAGACGCGATTGCGAAGGTGGTTCATAGGGGAGAATCTGCTCGGACAGGTAAATTGGAGGGAAGATCTGCCCTTCCCATTTTCATGTGATCCTGATGCCAAGGGAGAGCAGGTCTCCAAGGGCACCCAGTCTGGATCCAGGGTCAAGCAGGGAAGGGCAGCAGCCAGGGGTCAGCAGCCGCCGCCAGCCCTGTGGGGAAGAAGAGTCCTCGAGACTGTCGGGTTCCTGAGAAGCAAATCCTTTATTAAAAATAAGTTGTCTAAGTTGTATGTACAAGTGTCCTCCGGAAGAGGAGCAATGAGGATGGAAGCTCTGGAAGACCCCCAGGAAAGCCCCCCACAGGGAGGGAGGGAGAGGGGGATTGGTGGGAGGGTGGCCCCTGACCCCAGAAGCAGGAAGACGAGAGTGGTGAGTCCGAGGCATGGGCAGCGGTCTGGGCAAAGGGGCCGCCCTTCCCAACCTAGGGGCAGGAGAAGAAGGAAGGGGTGCATGTGGGGTTGTGGTGGGAACCCTTTCCCGAGAGTGAAGAGAGCAGCCCTAGAAGCGTCCATCGCTCTGCCGAGGGGCTCCCACACCATCCAAAGGTGCGTTGGAAGACTACCAAAATGGGGGGTGGAGGGGGTCCTCAGGCCACTGGCCTTCCTTCCCTTTGGGCGATGGGGATGTTGGTCAAGGTGCAATTGTGTCGTTCTGGAAGACGTGGGGGGAAAGTGAGGGTCCCGTCCCTTCAGGCTTCACAGCCGTGTCTCGCTTGGGTCCCTCGGAGGGGGAAGAGGAAGGCGACCCTCCCTCAAACGATCTTGACCAGGCGGCCCAACGTCTCGGCCGCTTTCATGCGCACGGCGGCCACAGGGTCCTTCAGCAGAACGGTCAGCGCTGGGGAAAAGAGGAGTAAAAGGAGAGTGAATGGGCTGCCTCAGGGTTTGGGTGTCAGAAGCTGAACATGTGCCCACAGTGTGATGCAGCAGCTACAAAGGCCAAGGCAGTTATAGGCTGCATCAAGGGGAGGATAGTGTCCAGATTGAGAGTCAGAAGCTGAACATGAGCCCAGAGTGTGATGCAGCAGCTACAAAGGCCAAGGCAGTTATAGGCTGCATCAAGAGGAGGATAATGTCCAGATTGAGAGTCAGAAGCTGAACATGAGCCCACAGTGATGCAGCAGCTACAAAGGCCAAGGCAGTTACAGGCTGCATCAAAGGGAGGATAGTGTCCAGATTGAGAATCAGAAGCTGAACATGAGCCCACAATGTGATGCAGCAGCTACAAAGGCCAAGGCAGTTGCAGGCTGCGTCAAGGGGAGGATAGTGTCCAGATTGAGAGTCAGAAGCTGAACATGAGCCCACAGTGTGATGCAACAGCTTCAAAGGCCAAGGCACTTACAGGCTGCATAAAGAGGGGGATAGTGTCCAGATTGAGAGTAAGAAGCTGAACGTGAGCCCACAGTGTGATGCAGCAGCTACAAAGGCCGAGGCAGTTATAGGCTGCATCAAGAGGAGGATAGTCTCCAGATTGAGAGTCAGAAGCTGAACATGAGCCCACAGTGATGCAGCAGCTACAAAGGCCAAGGCAGTTATAGGCTGTATCAAGGGGAGGATAGTGTCCAGATCCATGGAAGGCACAGTCCCACCATATTCTTCTTGGGTCAGACCTCACCTCAACCGGTTCAAGCAATTTTGGAGATGGACAAGTTGGGAGGTGACTACAGAAGGGCCACCAAAATAGCCAAAGGTCTGGAGGCCATGAATCCCTTTGAGTTTGGAGGGGGTCCCATCGAGGAGAAAGGGGCAAGCTTGGGTTTTGATGCTCCAGAGACTGGGACACAATGGAGCAAAATGGATCCAAATGGCAGAAAGAGAGATTCCATCTAAACTTTAAGAACTTCCTGATGGACAGAGGTGTTTGCATCTGGTGGAGTGTCCTTCTCCGGACGTTTTTAAGCAGAGGCTGGATGGCCATTGTATGTTTTCTAACTGCGAGGTTGTCAGAAACTGGGGCTAACAACAGGAGCTCACACCACTCCCCGGATTCGAACCACCGACCTTTTGGTCAACAAGTTCAGCAGCTCAGGGGTTTAACACACTGCCCACCAGTGGACTCAACATAACTAGACCAAAAAGGCCTGAAGAGGGGTCTTCCGAGGGAGCCCTTGTGGGTCCCTCTCCCATTTGATTTAGATTTTACTAAACCAGGCATGGGCCAAACAAAGACAAAGCCAGCAGACCTGATGGGATCCCTCCTGCCATTCAGTACTATCCAAACAGTTCTCTTGACATCCAGCCTAAAAGGGCCCTTCTGCACCAGGCCTGGGTCTCCAGGTGTTTTGGACTTCAACTCCCACCATTCCGAACAGCCTCAGGCCCCTTCTTTTTCATCTGTTGGGAGGGCTTGGATAGTATGGCAAAAGGGGGCTTGACAAGGTGGCATTGGGGTCTCTTCCAGCTCCGTGATGCCATGCCTCCTCTTTCTGCTGCCTAACCCAAAAGGCCTGAAGAGGAGTCCTCTGAGGGAGCCCTTGTGTGGGTCCCTCTCCCATTTGATTTAATTTCACTAAACCAGGCATGGGCCAAACAAAGACAAAGCCAGCGGACCTGATGGGATCCCTTCTGCCATTCAGTACTATCCCAACAACGCTTTCTCTGCTCCCTAACCTACAAGGCCTGAAGAGGGGTCCTTCAAAGGGAGCCTTGTGTGGCTCCCTCCCCCATTTGGGGGACACAACCCCATCTGACGCAGTCCGGGCCCCAAATTGTGGGTCAGTGGTCAGCCGAGGGCCAGAGAAGCCGGCTATTGAAGCCCAACCAGCTGGAGGGAAGAAAGGAAGGGAGGAAGGCGGGGAGTGAAGGGCTTCTTCCTCTTGAACAGCAGAGATACAATAATATTTTTCCAGTAGCCTGTTTACACTGCAAATCCGAGACTCTCCATCCCTGCGGAGCGGAGAAGCCAAGGCCTGATTTATGTGCCGACGAGGCCAAGCTTGCTTTCTGCAGATCAGCCCTGGGCCAGATGCCTGGGACTGGGGAGGGGGGGTCCTTGGCAGGGGGCTGCCTCCCGCTCAATTCGGGAAGCTGCTGCGGTGACCCCATCCATCTATCCATCCATCCGGAGCCCTCCTTCCTTCCCTTTCTCTATCCCCCCCTTGGTCTCCCCTCCCCCCCCCCCCCCAACTGGCGCACAGACGGGCCCCTCTTCCTTGAGACCCTGCACCAGCCAACGGAAAGATCGCTTTCCCCTTTTTTAGTGGTTTTTAAGCCCCGCTGGAAAGCAAAGAGATTTTCCGAGGCTCACGCCGCCGCCGTCAAAGCGATGAGGTCACTGCTGACAAGGAAAACACAGCCGCCGGCCAGGAAAGTTCCTGGTGATGCCTTTGGAGTGGCAGGGACCCTGTTTTGGAGGGGGGGAGAGAGAGGAAAGACCCCCCTCCCTCAATAAAAGGAATGGCTCCTTATCCCAATAAAAAGAGACAAGGGTTGCCATTGCGATGGTCCCATTCTGGCCACTGACTGACCGGACACCATGCCCCCAATTCCGAAGGGATATCCGCCTGCTGCACGGGGACCCTCTCTGAACCCAAAGCCCACCCACTCATTGCCCAATCAATTGCTCTGACTGCAAACTGGGCCCAGAATTGGACACTGCGTTGTTGTTGTTATTATTATTATTATTATTATTATTCCAGGTGGGACAGTCTGATCAAAACATAAGACTATGACTTCCTTCCATCTGGACATTAGACTCCTAGGCTGCATTCAGAGGAGTGTCCAGACTGATGGAAGTCATAGTCCCACTGCTCTCTTCTTCCTTTGGTCCAACCCAGGCATTGACACTGAAATACAACACTGCTTGAGCTCTGTGAGTGCAGCATTTTTCCAAATGAAGCAGTGAGTGTTTGAAGACCGGGACATCCATAGGGATACGAAGGTGCTTGTTTATAAAGCTATTCCCCTCCCAACCCTGCTATACATTTGCAAAACGTGGACTGTCTACAAACGTCAACACTGACACTGAAATACAACACTGACTGAGCTCTGCGAGTGCAGCATTTCCCAAATGCAGCAGAGAGTGAGGACTGGGATATCCGTAGGTAGACGAAGGGGCTTGTCTATAAAGCTATTGTCCTCCCAACTGTTCTATACGCCTGTGAGACGTGGACTGTCTACAGACGTCACATGGAACTCCTAGAACGATTCCATCAGCGCTGCTTCCAGAAAATCCTGCAAATCTCTTGGGAAGACAGGTGGACAAACGTCAGCGTGATGGAAGAAGCAAAGACCACCAGCATTGAAGCGATGCTCCTCCACCATCAACTCTGCTGGACCGGCCACGTTGTCCGGATGCCCGACCACCGTCTCCCAAAGCAGTTGCTCTACTCCGAACTCAAGAACAGAAAACGGAATGTTGGTGGACAGGAAAAGAGATTGAAAGATGGGCTCAAAGCCAACCTCAAAAAATCTGTCATAGACACCGAGAACTGGGAAGCCCTGGTCTTTGAGCGCTCCAGCTGGAGGTCAGCTGTGACCAACAGTGCTGCAGAATTTGAAGAGGCACGAATGGAGGGTGACAGGGAGAAACATGCCAAGAGGAAGGTGCGTCAAACCAACCCCGACCAGGACCACCTTCCACCTGGAAACCGATGTCCTCACTGCGGGAGAAGATGCAGGTCAGGGATAGGGCTCCACAGTCACCTATGGACCCACAACCAGGACACCGATCTTGGAAGGCCATCATACTTGGACAACAAGGGATCGCCTAAGCAAGTAAGTAAGCCAGGCATCGACAAACTTGGGTCCTCTCTCCAGGTGTTTTGGACTTCATCTCCCACAATTCCTAATGGCCAATAGGCGTTAGAAATTTTGGGAGTTGAAGTCCCAAACACCTGGAGGGAGGATTCGTTGGCCCATGCCTGGTCTAACCTCACCCAGAATACAATCCTCACTCCAACAGTGCAAATCAATGGGTTGCTATGAGTTTTCTAGGCTGTCTGGACAATATGTTCCAGCAGCACTCTCTCCTGACGTTTCACTTGCATCTGTAGCTGATGGCATCTCCAGAGGTTCTGTTGACAGTGAGGCAAGTGGAGTGTGTGTATATTTTTATGTGTATGCATGTATATGTATGTGTGTGTGTGTGTATGTATGTAGCATGTATATGTGTGTGCGCGTGTGTGTAGATATACACACACACCCCTATGGAATAACACCCAGGGTGGGAGAAAGAAGCTTGCGGAGCTTGCCTGTTTGAAGCAAGTGTGGATGTTGCAATTAGCAAGCTTGAAAAATATTTAGTCTCATGAAGCTCTGCAAAACATCAGGAGAGAATGCTACTGGGCCATGGCCATACAGCCCAAAATATCCACAGCAACCCAGTGATTCTGGGCGTGAAAGCCCCCAACGCTATAGTACATATTATGTCTCATTTTGCACAGCAAGGGCATTGGCCCATATAGATCCTGGGCATTTCAAACCAGGGAGAGGCCTAGAATAATAACCCTGTGTCCCGTTCAGTGGTGTCCGACTCTGGGACTCCGGTGCTCATCTCCATTTCTAAGCCAAAGAGCCGGTGTTGTCCGTAGACACCTCCAAGATCATGTGGCCAGCAAGACTGCACAGCGTGTCATTACCTTCCCACAGAAGTGGTAACTTATGATCTACTCACAGTTTGTATGTTTTCTAACGGCTAGGTTGTCAGAAGCTGGGGCTAACAGCAGGAGCTCACCCCACTCCCCAGATTCGAACCACTGACCTTTTGGTCAGCAAGTTTAGCAGCTCAGGGGTTTAACCCACTTCCCACTGGCGGTCCCTTATGTGGGTCCCTCTCCCATTTGATTTCGATTTCACTAAACCAGGCATGGGCCAAACAAAGACAAAGCCAGCGGACCTGATGGGATCCCTCCTGCCATTCAGTATTATCCAAACAACGCTCTCTTGCCAGATGGACATCCAGATGGACAAAGAGAAGGGGTCCAGAAAAGAATCACCAAAATGATCTGGAAGCCATGAATCTCCACTGGCGGCTCCTTTGTCATCCTCAAATTTGCTCCTTTTCGCTGGTCAAGAAGGGTTGGACTGGATGGCCCTTGGGGTCTCATGCAACTTAGGTTAGGTCAAGATTGAAGTGACCCTCCGGATGATTTCTAGTGGGACAGAGAGAGGTCCCGACCACACAGCACTGCCCTTAAGGCTTTGGTGCCCACCTCCATCCCCTCCTCACCTGCAATGAGCTCGTCCAGGTCCAGCTGCTGGCCATGGTCTTGGTCGACGTGGAGGACAAGAAAGCCTGGAAGGAAACAAGGACATTCAAGTCCAAAGGAAAGTGGAGAGGGACATCGAAAGTGGCCAAGGTAGCAACATCCTACCCTGAGCTTCCCACCCTGCAGTGCCTCCTGGGGACTCACCTACAAACATGGGGGCAGCTGCTCGGATGTCGGCCCAGTTGCTCTTGAAGTAGAAGAGGTTGGTGGCCACCAGGCGGGTCAGCGTGTCCGGGTAGCTCTGCATCTGCAACACAGGAAGGGAACGGTCAGTAAAGGTCACCAGGAATGACACAGAAGTCACTCTATCCAAAACAGGTGAGCAAGAAGGTCAAAGCTATGAACCTCTATGAGAACTGGTCAAGGGAATTGTGGATGCTAAGATTAGGGAAGGGAACATGAGAGTCATGTTTACATATTTGGAAGGAGGTCCCATTGGAGAGGACAAAAGGTCCAAGCTCATTTTCTGCTCCTCCTGAGACTAAAAACACAATGGAGCAATGGAGCAGGGGAAAAGATTTCCCTAAACCAGGCATGGGCCAAACAAAGACAAAGCCAGCAGACCTGATGGGATCCCTTCTGCCATTCAGTACTATCCATGTGTCAAGAGAGCTTTGACAGGTAGACATCCAGCCTAAAAGGGCCCTTCTGTACCAAGCATGGGCAAACTTGGGCCTTCCCTTCAAGTGTTTTGGACTTCAACTCCCACCCTTCCTAACAGGTCCCTTCTTTTTTCTCCCTCAGCCGCTTAAGTGGGTATAAATAATAATAATAATAATAATTATTATTATTATTATTATTATTATTATTATTATTATTATTATTATTATTTTACTGACACAATCTGTATGCTGCCCTGAGTTGCCTTACAGTTGAAAAAAGTGGGATAAAAAGGCTGTAAATAAATACAGTATATAAATATATATACATAATATATATATATATATATATATATAATATTATATATATATATATATATATACTTAAAAAGCAAAAAAAAATACATTACAACACATGCACAAAACCACATATGTACACAAACACACATATACACAAATATATACAGAAATATATACATACATATATGCACACACAAAACATACACAGAAAGAGGGAAGAAGGAAGGAGGAAAGAGAGGGAAGGAGAGAAAGAAGAAGGGAGGAAGGAAAGAAAGAGGAAGGAGGAGAAAGGAAAGAAAGAAAGAAGGGATAGAAAAGGAAGGAGAGAAGGAAATAAAAAAGTGAAAGAGGAAAGGAAAGAGAGAGAAGGAAAAGAGAGAAAGAGGGAGGGAAGGAAAGAGACAAGGAAGGATGAACCAAAGAGCAAAGGAACGAAAAAAGAAACAGATAGAGAAGGAAGAAAGAGAAAAAGGAGGAGGAAGAAAAGAGGGAAGAAGGAAAAAGGGAGGGAGGGAAGGAAGGAGAAAGAAAGAAAGAAAGAAAGAGAGAAGGAAAGAGAGAAGGAAATAAAAAGTGAAAAGAAGAAGAGAAAAGAAAAGAGGTAGGGAGTGAGTGGTGGACGAAAAAGACAGGAATGACGGTACCGAAAGATCAAGAGCCAATAAAGGAATACAGCCTAGGAAGTAATAAAGGAATGGAAAAAAAAGGAGGAGGCATGAAACTGAGTAGAGAAATTGGAAACGCAATGCGAGAAGGAAAAGAAGACATATAAAGAGTAGTGGGAAGGAAAGAATACAGGAAGGTTAACCAAGAGCAACGTGAAGTCGGAAAGACAACAGATAATAATTAATAAAGACGAATAGTAAAAAAGATGGATTTATTGATGTAGGTATTTGAGAAAGAAATGAAAGGAAGAGAAGAGAGAGGAAAAAAAAGAGGAAAGGAGAGAAGGAAAGAGAGAAAGAGGGAGGGAAGGAAGGAAAGAGACAAGGAAGAGAACCAAAGAGCAAAAGAGGTGAGAAAAGAAACATATAGAGAAGGAAGAAAGAAGAAGAGAGAAAAGAAGAAAAAGAGGGAAGGAATGAAAGAGGGAGAAGGTAAATAAAAAGAGAAAGAAGGTTGAATTCTGATCGGTAATAAAACGATTTAGACTGATTGAATTAAATAGAGATAAAAACGTAGATAGTATAAAGATTGAGTGTAGTGTTTTGAATTAAAGTATAGCAATGGAATTACGTTACCAACACAGCAGCAAACAGGAATCTATGAAATAAACTTCTATAAATATGAAAACATTAATTCTTAAAAAGCATTAGGTGTAGTGTATTGAGGTAAAGAATGTAATTAAGAGATAACGATTGGAACAGAATTTATATTAAAGAAAAGAAGATAAAGAGTGAAATTTATTTAAGAAATAGACACAGTATTTAGTTAACCAACATGCAAATGTAATTATAAAATAACATATCTATAACGTAAGAAAAGAGCGAATATGAAAAAAATTTGTTATACAGTTTATTGTGTATTTATTGAAGAAGTACATTAACTTAAGTAAGGAATGTAGATAAATATTAAATAATGCATTCATAATTGAAATAAATTATGA